TTCAAAAAAGGATATTGAAATCGTACTGAGAGTGTATATAAATTTGAAAAATTGAATATTTATTTAAAAATTGAAAAAAGAAAATGAACAAATGCTTTTAATGTGGGCCTTATAATATTTATATCGTACAACCGTGGCAAATCGATGCATCGAGCGCGTTATCTTCGAATGCAATCATCCAGTAAGACCGGTTGGAATTAGGATGAAGAAGAAAGTCATTGCTGTGAATTTGGCGAGTCTTGCAGATCGAGATCGTGTCTGTATATATATATACATTTACTGCACACAGTTAATCCAAGACGAAAGCTTCTGATAATTATCTTTCCACTCGTAACATTATTTTACTATAAAGAGATACACGTTTCGTTACGCTTACAATGTTCATAAAGTGATTTATAAATTTTATTCAGTCAATTCACGTAAGATTGTTAATAAAAATAATCTCACTCAAAAAAGGTATATCTTATATAAAATTTATCAATACCTCACACAAGTTTTTAGTAAGATTTTTTTTTTAATTTTCTTTACATGTTTTTTTTTTATTTCCTTTGGGCGAACTTTTTTAAACAAAAAGGTTTTGTGAAACGATGCATTTTGCAGCCAATTATACAATGAGTTGAAGAATAAGTAAAAGAAGAGAAGAATGATTCACAGAAAAGAGAGGAGAGATATTATGAGAGTTAATAGTCGAGGACTTTTATTAAGAGGGGAAAAAAAAAGAAGGTGAGTTTTCAACAAAGTAAGAGAAACAGTTTATGACTTTATCGTCGCATTTTTATGAAGTCTAAGGCAATAAAAGAGAACATTCCACTTGCATGAAAAGTAAACCAATTAGCATTAGAAGTCTCAGTAATGTCTGTTACTAGCGAACTTCTGTTGTTATATATAGAAAGAGATGAGTTGGTTAAACTTTTAACGCAAAGATTTATATAAGTACAAGATTGTCCGTCACTTCATGTGAAAAATTCCTAGAAAATTTTTGTATTTAATTTTAAATAGAGTACCTCTATGGAAGTTGTTAATTGGTATTTTTTTGTTTCATAAAGATTTTTAAAAATCATTCTTATAACTATGATCGCTGATTTATTTTACAATAATTATTTAAGAATAATTTCAAGTAAGTTATTTTGCACTGAAATATTTTACAAAGAGCACTTATATAAAAATATTCCGTATACTGAGTCGTAAAATGGTTAATCGGTCTCTTTAAAAAAAAAATTATGTTTTTATATTTAATATTCTTATGATTCATTATTATTTTATTTAACAGCCTTGAATAGAAAATGAACTCATCGTAAAAAACTATATAAATTTTATTTATACAATTACTTTCTTACGTATACGAATGTTATTTGAGAAGATATGTACATACATGGGATTGGCATTTTGCCAGAAAAATTGGTTGATCGTCTCATATATATGTTTTCGTTGTGAAAACTGTGTCTAGCCAACTATAATACATACTCAACTCTTTCATAACTAGAAAAAATTTATGAACGAATAACTACTGTAAAAATGTTGCCCTAGGGTGTCCTTGAATCATGACAAAAAGTTTTCCTCAAAATTAGAATATACGTCAAAAAAAAAAAAAAAATGATTCACTTTTGTAAATTGAAATTAAAAATGATTGAAACAACAAATGTTTGTGATAAAAATGAAATTTTTTTATAAAATTGTAAAAAATAAAATGCCTTCAATATGAAATGAAAGAAATATAAAGAAAGCAAAATTGTAAATAAGTATAATATATTAAAAAAAGTTTCAAGAGATACAGTTATGAAATTAATTCTTTTTTATGAATTAATTTTCTGTCGCTATTTACCTCTCGTTGAGGAAATTTATTATACTTACAAATCACAAATGCGAAAATAGATTTTCTAATAATAAAATAAAGAACATTTTTTAGTTTTGAAATATGTTTTTAAAAAAGCATGCATTTTTTAATGTATACTCCATTTTACGCAAGGGAGGTGCTTTTTGCAATAGATTTACATGTAGATGTCAACGAGAATATATATCTACACATAAGCATCCTTGATCTAATCTCTCACTCGGTATAACTCATTGTCGTAAGTACATGGTATACTCTTGTTTTAGAGATTCACGGAGAATATAGGTCACAGTTCAATTTAAATGATTTCTCATCACTCTCTTTTGGCTTATATTCTTTAGTTTTACAAAAAAAAGCTTTCATGCAAGCTTTAAACTCCTTGTTAGAAATAATTGTACAATACATTTGTTTTAAAATAGCAAAAAATAATTGTTATATTTCAAAAACAGAAACTATTGTTATACAAACAAAATACCTACAACTTTATAACTTGCAATTTCCCAAAACTGGCATCTATAAATTATTTTTATTAATCATTTACTGAAATTATTTGAAATTCAATGGAGGTAAAATATCATACTGCAGTTGATGTAAAACAAAATGTAATATTTTTTAAAATTATTTTTAAAAAACAGTGAACGTCCTATATGATCAATGAACAATTAATTTACATTTTCTCTACAACATGACGTATTAATTGTTTCTATGTACTCGCGGAGTAATTCGAACCCAATATGTAATGTTATTTGAATTGAATAAAATATATTTATCTCAGAGCTATATATTGACTTGTTTAAAATAAAAATTTTGTTTGTTATAACAAAAATTTATTTGAAACAAATAAATATTTATTTAGCTTTGAAAGACAAATATATTTTTTCTCTGGGGTGCAATTTTTTAAATCGATGGTAGCAAACAGAAGAAACCTTGATTTCTACTTTATTTATCGTGAAAATATTTTTTGATTTATTTATATATAAATTCAATTTGTTTACAATTACTTTAACAAAAGTAATTTCATCGAAGGAGAAATTTGTTTTTATTTCAGAATCAGATGACAAATCTTCAATTATATTCATTAAAAATTGATTTTTTTATCAAATTAATTTATATAAAAAATTATACAAAAAAATAGAAAATTAAAAAATATAAAAAAAAGTACGAGGGCAAACAGTTTGATATTGAGAATTTGATTAAAAAAAATGAAGCGATAAAGTTTAAAAACCTTTTGAAGTGTATGTAATTTACTTTTGGGAACGGAGTTGAAGAGATTTTAGATGAAATATAAAATGGTTTAAGGCTAATTCTGCTTTTGTGTATACATATGAGTTGTCAGTGCGAGCGTATATGAAAAAAAAAAGTTAGTAGATGAAAAACCTGTATAGTAAGAAAAAATTGAACCGAGTTGAAATTGGGCACACGCAGTGCGTGCATGCGGTTAAGGTCTAAGCTATAAGGCAATTGCAGTTTGCCTCGTGGCCGGGTGCAACGCCGGACGGTGAAGGGGTTGAGGAGAGAGGACACATGCTGCAGTGACGGCAGCATAGGGGCAATAGAGGGCAACGCACCCAGTCAGCCTTGGCATGAATTGAGTCTAGCAATGCGAAAGTTTTAGCCCAGCCACGGCGCAACAAAGTCGGGGCCAACTAGAAGCTACATCTTTTCGTCTTTTTTTTCTCTTACGTTCGTGAGAGCTGCAATTTCAGAGGAACCACATCCTGGCCAATGGACCCAAGCCTCCAGCGAAAGATTGCCTTCAATTTCAAAACTACATTATATTCAAAAAAAAAATCTACATTTACATTTTTTCCATAATTTTTCACATTTTTGTTAAATGCAACTTTATCTTATCATCAGTTAGAAATCAACTTATAAAACTTGTCTTATCTTATCTCTATACAATAGTTTAAAAACGCATGCGAAAATTCTTCTAAATTCGTCTTAATAAAAAAATTAAAAAATTAACTCTACAACTCATAGAATATACAAAAAAAAGCTTATTTAATCTAAATTTAAATTTTCATATATTGCTGTAGGAGAGATTCTTGGAATTAGTTGAGTTTTGGCTGCAAGTGAACTCTGGATGTGAGTCTAAGAGTGGAATGAAACTACATCTCAGGAAAAGAAGTGAGACAGAAAAGAATGTAAAAAGAGAGATGATGAGAAAGAAAAAGAAGAGATTAAACGAGAAAAAAAAGCTCCAAGAGGGGGTGAGAAAGGGAGAATGAAGTAAGGGGGAATGAGTAGAGAAGGAAAATTAGCGTTCAAGTGGGAGAGTCAAGAAAGAGGGATATAGATGCATCCAGAGAAGTGTCAACTTATGCTGCACCCGTATAGAATTGCTGTTCCTTTCAAAATCTTTTTATTTCAAAAAAATAGTTTTAAATTGCTTCTTTATGTGACTCTTTCTCTCTAAAAAAAACTTTATGTTGAATGCATTAAAATCTGATATCAAAGAAATGCTCAAAAACATTCATTGAAAATTACTTAACTGCTCGCAACTAAATGTTTAAAAAAAAATATTGCTTAACAACAACAAAAAAAATAATGTAAGAAAAGATTTCTTTGATTTAAAGAAATTAGTTTATTTGACTTGTTTTCTTTGATTCAAAAAAATTTTCTTTAAATTAAAGAAATTTGTGCATTAAATTGAAGAAATTCTAACATTGATATAGGGTCAAAGAAACATTTATTTGGATTAAATAACAAATTTCTTTGAAACGAAAATAATTTTTTTTGAATCAAAGATAATTTGTTTAAAACAAATAAATTTTTTTTAAATTAAAGAAAAATTTGCCAAAGAAATTGATTTCTTTGAATCAAAGAAATCTTTTTTCTTGGTGTAAGAAATTTTTTTTTAAATTATTTGAGCCAAGTTCTGTACACAAAATTAGATTTCCTCTTAATTATAAATTATCCTCAGTTACTTTTTTCTATAAAACAATACAATATTAAATATAATTTATTTTTTTATAAAAAAAGTGTAGTTTTTTTTTTTTTTTAAAGAATATTACAAATAGAATTGAAAGTCTATAGAGCCGTCCCTGCAAGTAATGTCATAGTGGGGAAGAATCGAGAGAGAGGAAACGGAACTTTGTGAGTGGGGGTCACATGATGCTTTTGAAAAAAACCGCGAAGCTTTAAGAAGAGGTGCAGTGCCCCCCACCACCAAAGTGCAACGCTGACTTCTAGGCTTGCCATAGATCAGCACCGCGTTTCTAGTATCGGAAAATCGGAACTAGTGCACTAAATATAAACTTTTAGATTTATAAATAGAGTAAATTTTTTTTTTTAGAAATATTTATTTATAAGTAAAAATAATAATAAATAGAGAGAGGAAATTTAAATTTTTTTTAATACATTAACATTATTTATCAGTGTAGTTGGAAGTTAAAGAATTACATAATTTGTGTCTCTAGAAATAAAAATGTGCTAATTATGGAATTAATTTGAATAAAATGAAATTATTCTACAATAAGCGTTTTTTTTTTAAAACATTGTGGATGTGTTTTTTGTGCTCCCAGTGATAAAAATAATTTTACAATACTAAAAAAATGTAATGTAAAAGAAAATAGTTTAAAAAGTATCAATTTTATATTTTCATTTTTTTTTATTTTTTGAATATATCATAAAAACAGGAGTTTCAATTTTTTCTCATTTTCACTCGTCTTCTTACTAATCAGCAAGTTCGTCTTTTGAATTCTCATTCGTTGAATAGACTGATGTCCTACTTACAAGATACGTATGCAAAAAGTGATCGTATTTTTAACAAGAAGAGTAAGAAAAAGAGGAAGAAGAAGAAGAACGACACGAATTTCACCAGCAAAAGCAATAGTCTTGGGCGTTTGGAGTCAAAAAGTCTTTTCTCTGAATTCTTCTTATCCTAAAGGGTTTCTATGCCTTTAACATCCTGCGCGAAGGAAAAAGCTTTCTCTATATATTCAAAAAGCTAGATACGCTCCAATTTCAACGAGAGAAATGTTCAAGATTTTCAAATGTGATTGTGATAGTGCGTCACATCTTTATTTTTCATCATGTAACACAAAATCTGATCTTTTACTTTTTCTCTGCAAATAAAAATTTCGGGTTTTAAATTTTATCGACCTAGAAATATTCCTGGAGAATCTAATTATATATTTATTTATTTTCTTCTTGATTTTAAACAAGGTTTTATAAATTTTTCACACATGCCAATATACATGAAGTTTATAACTATTTTTTCTTTTTCGAAAAAAAACAGTCAAAACATATTTCATTTTAAAAATATAATCCAACTTTTCCGTTGCAAAGACAAATTATTGAAATTTCATTGTTCAGTCATTTTAAAAGTCTTTTCACCGCACATATTGAATAGTTTTTGTTGCAGAGTCGTTTTCATTTTACAAAAAAACATCAAAAATGAAAAATAACCATTGAAAAAGCAAAATTTAGTTATTGAAACATTATTATTTCGAACGAAGTTATGTTAAGAATTAATTTTTATTGCTTTTTCTTTTGACCTTTTAAAATTAGTAACAACTCTTTAATACTTGCAGGAAATTGATAATTATTTTTTCTGCACTAAAAAAATCATATTAAAATATTATAATAAGCTCGATTATTAATATTAATTTTATAAACGTATGACTTTCGGTTGTAATAAATTGTTCACTGCACTGATAATAATAATTTGTCTGGAAATTCATAACATTCAACTTTTCATTGTCTGTTATATTTGATATTTACGATTTATATAATATTGAGGGTATTAATACTATCTGCCGAGACTGTTAAGTTTTTTGTACACATATTTTCTGCATCGTTTTAAACTTTTATAAAATATATATATATATATACATCAATTCATTTGTTTTTTTAAAAATAAATTTCGATTCTGTTTCTATGAAAACTTTTGCTTGTAAATCATAACATAAAATCTATTCAAAAAAGTAAAGATTTGAAAATATACAATTTCCTTAAAGAGACAGGACATCGAATCAGAAAATATATATTTTCTTTTGTAGAGAGTTATCCATGAAGAGTCATAAAATTGAATTATTGATTTTACTTTTTCTTCGAGATACATTTGACGTTAAGTGCCAAAGTCTGAGTGTAAAACGTTGTTCATTTAAAAGAATAGTAAGAAAAAAGCTATTTACAAGAAAATTAATAATCATTCATTCTTTTTAAATTATCTATAGATTTCAAAAAAATATATATATATTTAAAAAATAATATGCATAATTTAAGGATTTTTATCGTGAGTATCTCATCTTTATATACCAATAAAAGTTGTACCAAAGAGCAATAACAAAATTCTTATCACTATTAAACCTTTTCAACCGGAAGTTATGAGATTGTACAATTGTCTCTTGTCATATTAAGTTTTGCAAAAAAAATAACTCTTTCATTTAATTTTTGTAAATTTTTTAATTTCTAAAATAATAATTTTCTAGTTAATTGAAAAATTATCTTTCGCTTTTAAAGATAAGTGATCTTTGCAAAAAGAATGCAGTGTGAAAGTGAAGAAATTACGATTTTCGCAAAACGATGTCAGTTCATGGCTGATAAAAACAGACCATAAACCCAACATTCTAAAGGAGAAAACTATTATGCGTCGCTCAACTAAAAAAACGGTCCGCAAGGGCCCAAGGGGTATTTTCGCGCGGATGAGACTTGAATACTATGGTGGCAAATACAATGACGACAATGTGCAAGCACACACAAGACAAGTTCAAAACTGAGTTAAGGAAAGTACACGATTTTTCACTTTCCTTAAGGTGATTCCCTTATTGTGAGAAAGTCAACTAGAAAGACATAAATTTTTCCTGAGACGGGTGCGAAACACATTTTAAAAAGCCTCTTAAATAAAAAAAAAAAACTTTTATTACTTTTACTTTGCATAAAAATATAGATAAGATGAGACTTTTTTTCTACTTTGAGTTATTGGAAACCCTCAAACACAATAGAGAAATAATTTGGATTTAAAAACTATTGAAATATGAGACTCGTCGTATGATAATATTCATAAACAAAAAGAAATAAATAAAATTATTTATTTAAAAAAATTTACCTACTTTTTATAAAAGAGTAACATACTGAAATTAAATGTCAAAGATTCGAATATCAAGCGATGAAATCAAAATAAATCATCCATATAGTGATGTTTTCTAGTAAATAGTAGTTAAAGGGAGCTAGAATCGAAAAGGAACGAACAAAAGAATTCCACCTTGTCGGTGCTTCCAGACACAAGACAAATACCCGCGCACTGACCACAAAGAAACTCCCCTGCGCTTATCGTTTTATCCTTCTCTTCTCTGATGCCCCTGCAATGTTTTCCTCTTTGTTTAGATTCTTTTTTTCCATTGAAGATTCTCTATCGTTGAGAACTAGCTATTCTATGCAAAACGCGCGCGGATCTTTCTGTCGGATCGCCATTAAAAAAAAAAAAAAAAAACATTTTAAGCGACTGGAAGTGGTCCATCGTTAGACTCCAAAACACGTTTAACCAGTGAATCTCAAAATAAAGTCATTTAGAATATTATTTATTAGAACTTTTATGCTTTTATTTTATTTAGTGATTTGTATAAATTTTATATTTATTAATAATTTCTGGAATAATTAAAAATACAGTTATATTTTACTTAACCTAAAGATTTTTATATAGAAAATATTTTAACTAAATAAAAATAATTTATTATTTGCGAGAAAAATAAAATCTATATAACTGCATGATTGAGAAGGTGTGTATATACCTAAAGGAGAATCTACTATATTACGCTCTTTATCGACTGAAATATAGACATGAGTAAAGTACTATCTGAAAATAGATAGATAAAGAATGGCGGTTTATTCTGAGAAAAACCTGCCTGAAACTATATAAGACCTTCTTGGTTTGCGTTTGGGGCGTCGATTACACATCCATCCTAGATCGAAAATGGGATTCATGGAACAGTGTATTTTTCAATTTCCTTCTAGAGTATAAATTAGACGAAAAAATTTCAATTTTTCCAATAATTACGTATGTAATTAAATAATTATTATTTCTTCACAAGTGGTTTTATAATAAATGACTAATTTTATAATATTAGGAAAATCATTGGTTGAATAAATGAAATTAGTATGCAACCATGCGCAATCACTCGTAAATATAAAAGAGACAGATTGTCAGTGACTTTTTCGATGCAATGGCTTGATAAATCAGATCGTATAGAAGAATTTGTCAAAAACGCTCAAGTAGCGAATTTTATTCTTGGATTTTAGAATTCACTTTAGCAATTTATTCATTTTATTTGATTCGTTTCAATTTCTTTATCTTCGCTTTAATAAATCTAAAATGTCGAAATAAAAAAGAAGACAAAAATTTTTTTTTTTTGAAAAAGCGTGCTAAATTTTATTATATAGAAAGAATAAGTGAATTTCTATCGAGTGATAAAAAAGCAATGACTTGGCGTGTACCCTTAAAGTGAAAAAGATGCATGCGTACACATTCACATCGATAATTCTTTGGCACGTGATAGGAATATTGTTGTCAACAAGCGTTCCACACATAACTTGGGTGAAAATAGTGAATTCTGCAAGTAGGATCGCGTCCTTGTAGGACGAAATCCTTTGCCTAATGTATACGTGAATGGAATGCGCGATTTCTGCTGCATTTGACAAATCTAACGCAAGTAGAAAGGTTAAAATATATATGCCTCTGACAAGATTTCACAGTGAAGTCCATGTTTCATCTCTTTTTCTAAAAAATCTCTAACATCAAATCCTGACCATAAAAGCCACCCTTATTTACATACACGTGTCAAACAATAGTGTACGATTAACATGTGTATGTATTATTACACACCAAATGCAGCAAATTTCTATAGGTAACATATATAGACATAATATATCAATTCAAACCAAAATCCATTGTTTTACGACCGGACGTATAACCTACTGTTTGGATATCCACAACAGGAGTTGTAAGTTAAAGCTCACTTACTCCAAAATGATCCTTAAAGAGGTCTTAATTCTAACTTGAATTTGAAACCTTATTAGTAATAATTTACAAATTTCAATCTTGAGTCTGTTTGTATAAAAAATCTAAAGAAATGCCTACATACACTGAAAAAAAAAGATTTTGTGTTTGCAACAAAATCGTTTGGTCCCGTGTAGAAATGTCCCTAAGCTTCCCAACGTGATAATGGATTCCGACTAGAACCGCGCTAGAAAATCTAGCCTAGAAAAGTCGTACTCGAACCTGATTAGATTCTTGTGAGAAATTCAGACTAGAAATATCTGCTGAGATCCCGTTTGAATTCTAGAAAGGCAATTCAAACTAGCAAAATCTGATTAAGCCCTTACTAAATTCTAGTCAGAAATACCTCGAATTGGACTTAGATTATTTTTCGATGTTTTATTTATTTAAAATATGAATTTAATTATGTTCAATAAGGGACACAAATATTTTTAAAATGTTCGTTTTAGAAATAATAATAAAAAGAATAAATATTAATAATAATAAATTATAATAATAAAATTATTAAATAAATTAAATTTATTATTAAATAACACCGAGTGATAGAATCAAAATAATATTATTAATAAATTACATTATTATATATAGTTTCACTTTTTATTTAATTTAAAAATAATATTTAAATTTAAATCGAAAATATCAAAATCGATGTATCGAAGTTTTCAATATATCGATGTTCCATCGTCGAGAATGATGAAAATGAATGGCGCAAGTGCACATGTCATTTTGTGTGAACCTGAATTTTATTGTTCTTTTGTTAATTAATAATGAAAAATAATCACTCATCTTCTTTATCAGAAGGTAAATATTAACATAATATTATCAATTTAAGAATATTTAATATTAAGCCAATAAACATGAAATATGTACTTAGAATATTAAAAGTAAAAAATATCTTGATTGGTTTTTCTAACCTCAAATTTTGTCTTTATGTTAATATCATTATTGCAAATTTTTAATTTTTACTATGATTATTCCAATTTCTTCAGGTAATATTATGATTTCTAACTTTTTTATTTATAATTCTGGTTAAAATT